TGGGAATCTCCGCTTCCAAATGGTCCACAATGTGTTCCAAATGGTCCACAATGTGTACTGCCTTATCAACTGAACGCCTTGTTTGGGGAAAGTTGTAAAACCTCCCCGCGATGAAACCTTTGTATTCATTTCCCCCCAACCGGGGGAGAAACTGTCGCAGGCCACAAAATGACTTTTGGCGTCATTTTTGCACGCTGTAAAACACTTTCCCGCCATTGTTCCACAGCGGGCGTTACCATTCCAGCCAGGGTGCAAAAATGACACGGAAACGTCGGAAAGTCATTTTGGGGCCTGTGACACTTTCTGCCCCGTTTTGGGGGCAAATGAATACAAAGGTTTCGTCGTGGGGAGGTTCTATAACTTTTCCCGTCTCATTTCCGGTGTTGCTTCCATGTCGTTGGATGTAAGTTCCATTGCTGTGAGAAGAACGCTTCTGTCCTCCGGAAAAAGGGGTATCTGATATCTTTTTATGCACAATGGCTTGGCTTCTGCCCATAGAGACGCCGCCTCGGCGCAACGTAGAAGGCAGTGCATCGTTGGTTCCTGCGGCCCTCCCGTACAGAGCAGGCAAAGCTGGTGTGCGACTCCGGCGTTCGTCAGTTTTGTCGCTCGTCACCAATCTTCCTGCTGTCAGGCTGGTGATGAATTCCAAAGCTGATTTCCAAAAAGAAACTCTCAGTCAAGAAACACTGATCACCAAATCAAACTGATTTCCGAACCTCGAAGCTGATATCTGAACCGGAAAACTGATTTCCGAGACTCAAAGCTCCTTCCAAACCTTGACGCTGTTTACCAAACCTCAAAGCTGAACCTCATGGTTAATTCTGTTCATGATCAGGGTACATTCTGTTCAGTCGAAGGATAGTAGAGCAGGTATTGGTGCAACTCTGCAAAATAACGAACTCTGCAAAATAACGTTGGACCGCATGGTGTTCCTCCAAATTTGATACGGCCAGACATGCACACAGGCTGAAGACCTTGCAGTTCCTCAGGGCGCCTATCAAAATTCGCAGATTATTATGTCATTATTATGTCATCGCTTCCAACTTGATCTACCTTTGTCCAGCTATCATTTGCATGCAGTCATTTTCAAACTTTGGAAGTTCGGAAATTGCCATTATGCCTCTATAGAGTCTATACTCTGCGTGACTTGCTATTTGGTGACATGCTTCACACTAGTTCATACTAACTTCATAGTAACTCTAGTATGCTAATGCCTCTCTTCTTCTCGATTTTTTTGCTCTGTGCAAATGCCTTCTGGAAAATCGAAGTCTGGCAAAATTCTGCTGCACTGTCTATTGGAACTTTGTGGCTGGACTTTTGCCCTTTTTTCTTTTTGGGCCTTTTTGCTGTAATGGTTCCGAGAGTTGACAGTTTCTGCTGTACATGCGATTTTGTTTGCGTGTTTTTTATTTTCACAAATTTCACCAGAATATCCCCTGTTCCCCCTAAATGAGTAGATCCAGAACCAAAGCAACTTTACCTCCTTTGTAGAGAACTAAGCACCTGAGATGACCCAAATCCAACAATGAAACAGTTTTACCTTGATAGCAAGCAACATGGACTCATGGAGCACAATAGGTCCAATGTATCCCTTTCTTAAGTATCTTTACTTCAGTTTTCTTTGGGGTAACCCCGTTTACCATGCCTCTCAAGTACAAGTCTGGCCATGTTGATTGTGGTTGAGTGTCAGGTGCCCACATCCCCTTGTGCCTTAAAGCACCAGTACATGGGCACTTGGGCCGCGGGCCTGACACCTCGAATTCTGGAAGGCCGAAACGAAAACGCGACCGCTGATCCAATTTATCCACGGCAGGCCCAGCGTTTGATGTTTTGGCCTCATTTTCTTGTGGTGACAAGTTTCGGACTGCAAGGCTGGGGCCGTGTACTAGTGGTTTAATGGCACACTCGCACGCTATCATAGGAGAGAGTAAAGGGGGTTATACTCCTGTACATTTTCCTTCAGATCTTCAGCTTATATTTGTCTGTTCTCCTTAAAGCACCAGTACCTTTCCCAGCCATTTTGCCGCCGGTTAAAGCGAGGCCAAATTCGGCTGGCGGGGGGGGGCGGCCAGATGCGCCCGCAAAGCTTGGCGCGCAGAGCCCGCGGCCTACACATGGGTGTATACTGGCGGTTTAATGATGCGCATTCGTTTGCATTTGCATTTGTTAGTAGTACACAAGGGGAGGGAGGCAGGAAAGGGGTAGGAGGTGGAGTTTTCTAGGAAGCGAGAGGTGGGAGAGAGACGGGTGGAGGAGGGAAGTGGAGTGGCAAAGAACAGAAGAGAGGAATGACAAACTTCACAGGGTTCTGAGCACTCGGCGCTGGAGCAGACTACTCTAGAATGACACGAGAGGTCAGTCCGTGGTTGGGTTGCAGGAGATTTTGAGTTGAGCAGCAGCCGTTGCCTATGGTAAGTGGCCACCTCTACAGACAGGACAGGACCGGTTTGGGTGTGGACTGTGGCAGCACCATATCCAATTCTTGCAGTTGCAGTTGCTGCATCGGATGACACAACGTAGGCGATGTCACAGGCTCACAGTGGCGTGCTGTATAGGCATTGCCGTTCCAGCCCATGTCTACAAATTGGACATGAAATGTCAGGGTGCCGTACATGAGTCCAATGTTGACTGTCATCATACGTATAAAAGTATTAAAAACAAAAACTTGCATGGACTATGCCTTCATATTCCTCACGACACAAGGTATGCAAATTGCATGCTAGCCGAATCTCAGGTGGGCCATCACAGAGCGGCATTGCGCAAGTTCCTTGGGTTTCCACAGTCATTATTTCCTCTCTATGGACAAATGACGACAAGGACTGATCCAAAGCAAGAGTGTTTACCTGTTGCAGAATTTGGTCTGCAACAGCTCACCCTAGTGGTGTTAACTTATTAGTACAGCACTTTGTAAGTTTGTACAGGGTTCATATGGTAGTCTATTTTCCTTCTCAGGCTGTTGTGTCGGTTGTTCGTCTGGCGAGGATGGAGGGGATCCAATTGCGGTTGCAGCAGGTGTATGGCCAATGGTGCATGCAGGACATGCTCGGAAAGGATGTGGCAGGTGATGGCATCGGGGATAGTCTGCACAGCAGAGACACATACTTTCTATGACAGCTTCCCGGAAACACTGACAGCACATGGCATGCTGCTGACATGTCAGCAGGTAAGCAGGCTGACGTTCGCAGTTATTTAAGCAGGGCATAGAGGGTGGAGGGGGTGAGTACAAGACTATGGGTTGCAGTTTTCACGGCAGAGGCTGGCAGTGACCATCCCCTCATAGGCTCATAGTCTTCGGAGCAGAAACAATGCTGTGTGCATGCTAACTCAACTGTAGCTGAGTGGAGGCACAATGGCATGGGCCGGATGGCACAGCCAGCATCCCCTGGAGAGGCCCCTTCACTGTCTGTGGTAGAATCCATCCGATCTACACAGGAAAGGGACGCTGCTTGACCATGTACAGGGAAAAGCAGCATGACTGTACCAGACCGTTTTTTGCCGGACTTTCACTGACTCATCACGGGGTTGAATCCCAACAGTCCGCCGAGGATGAATTTGACTGATGCATAAGTTCTCACCACGTCGCCCAGAGTTAGCGATACCCTCAAGAGTGAGACAGGCGGTCGACTTTACTCACACCAAACCTACAATCCTAGCAGACTGTTGGTCCAGTTCTCGATTTATGTGTGTGTGTATGTTATAGATTTTCCCCACAACAGCCCCAATTCCACCCAGATGAATAGATTCAGAATTTCAGAATCAAAGCAGTCTTTGACTCTTTGTCCTATTGTGGGTGTTGTGATATTCGCTATACAGTGTACACTGTACACTCAAAAAAAGCATGACTCTGTGTGTGTGTGTGTGTGTGTGTGTGTGTGTGTGTGTGTGAGAGAGAGAGAGAGAGAGAGAGAGAGAGAGAGAGAGAGAGAGA